TTGTAGAGCAGACAATTCTCTTTCGAATGGTATATGACATGGTGTAAAAGCTTGGGATTTAGAAGAAAATTTTTTGTTTGAAAAAAAGCGACACTACTTATGAGACAACCTAATAAATGAAGAAGTGATCAGGCTATACTATGACTATAGGTGTTGATATCAATCAAGGCAAGAAACAGCTTCTGGTTCGCACAAGCAAGCTGTCGGGTGGACAAAATACCTTTCAACTGACTCTGTGTCGGGTTACTCAAGACGCAGACCAGAGCGGAATGGAGCTGTACCAAGTTTGTCATTTTCCTGTTCAATTTGTCGAGGTGATGTATCCTAGAAGCAATTCGATGGGTTTTGCACGAGGATATCTTGAATCGGCGAAGAAGGAGTGGGGTTTTCGATTGGCCCGAAGCCGTCTTCGATAGATTCTCGACACAGATTTCTCGCAGATCGGAGAACTTTTTGAACAACTTTAGCGTCTGTCAAATTTTCCTCTTTACAAAGGTTCTTTTAGATTTTCGAAAGATTATCATTGAAGGAAATTATCCTTCTATTTTATAAAGCGCTAACTTTGTGTGTCGGTTTGTATGTCTGTATGTGTGTATGTATGTATGTGTGTCCGTCCGCAAAATGAAGTGGTAGGGAAACTCGTGAAGTAAACAGACCGTTAACAAAATCGAGTAACTATGACTTTAGCAATCAATGTTTTGCAGTGCTATCAATGTGATAACACCCCAACGGCTATATAAACACCTACTGAGCATGGTCTCATTCATTCCACATGATGCTGCAATAGCAGCTGGAGAGCAGTAGAGGGAATAGGATAAGATGGAGAAGGGCGAGGGGAGCTAACCGCCAAAAGACCTGAGGTCCAATTAATATCATTCTAAGGTCATGTCACGATTACGGTAATGCCTTCTACTGTATAGGGTCTGTGTCTTTAGTTCAAGATTCACATTTCTGCCTACTTCACACCACCTCTGCCTCGGGTGTGCACCTTTAGTCAGGATTGACCTTTCACACCTCCTCGCCGTGGTTATCTCGCACCACCCTGTAACCTGCCTCTGGGTGGACCTCGCTTAATTAGCTGAGCTGAGTGCTGACCCAACTCCGACAGACTCATTATAGAGGACATGATCGCGTAATAAATTCATTTATGCAGTAGCGGTTGGAGGAAACAAAATATCAGGAAAAAATGGGAGCTCAAAAATAACTAATTCTTAGCTAGTAGCATGCGCAGTGCAAGCCGTTTTCCACGCAGAACAGTTACGAAGTTGAAACTTTCGCCTACCTTCCTACAAGCAAACTACTTTATAAATAATGCATTACCTTTTATGAAAAGATCACCTTCACAGGTATTTAATCAGGTGGGAGAGAGCACCACAAATACTTCAATTGTTTGTGTTTGTCCATCTCAAGCATGTTCTACACAGCAGTCCTCTGCATGACTCATTCACTTACCAACTTCTAGCAGATTCGGCTACAACTGGCGCTCCATTATTGAGAAATGCAGATCAACCGCCTGCTCCACCTCTTTACATAGATTCCAGTGCACTTCCTTTGTACAGCACCACTACTGTGTCAGTGCCTGCACCATCACTCTGCGTGGCTTCTCCTCCTTTTCAGGTCACCCCTCCGTTGTATGTGAATTCGACTTCATCCCAGATCCCCTTTGTTTCTATCCCTGGTCCTGCTTCATCCTCGATTTCTGCATACATTTCACCATCACCACGTCCACCCCAAGAAATATCACATGCACCCGTCCCTCCGATTTCGCAAACTATTTCAGGTTTCACCAAGTTTCACCTTACGAAATTAAAAGTTTCGCCTAACTTCTCTACAGGCAAACTAATTTATGAAAGTGTGTTGCCAAAACGGCGCATCTCAAGAAGAAATAGAACGACTTTGCAGTAGGATGTCGAGAAATGTCACTAATACATCTGTATTATCTGAATTTTTTGTTAACTATGCTAAAAACTTGTATAAATTAAACTTTGGTTTGTTTCCGTGAATATAGTAATGATAGACTTGATAATCAATACTGCGCATGAGAGCGATATGTTGGAGAGAGGTCAGCACTCAGCACACCTAATTAAGCAAGGTCTACCCAGAGGCAGGTTACAGGGTGGTGCGAGATAACCACGGCGAGGAGGTGTGAAAGGTCAATCCTGACTAAGTTCCCTCTCCCCTCTGCCTCGCACCTCGGCAGGCCTGCCAGTGGCATACCCTCGCTTAATTGGTTGAGGTGCCCTGTGACCTTCCCCTAACGATGCCAACTACATCGAAATAGATGAAATAAAGATTATCGGGGCAGGCTCCCAACAGTTAAAAGAATAATAATAATAATAATCAGTTTGATTAAAACTTGTTTCTATTATAAACGCAATATCTTCATTCTATGGGCCGGATCATAACTAAGAGCAGCTCTAATTGCAAAGTGCGTCTACGCCGGAACCACGCCATTTTCAGTTCCATGATGACCTGCCTCTGATGTATGGAACAATCATTGCAATCAAAGACCAATAGAGATGGTCTTCTGTCCTAATCTCTCCGGCGGCCATGTCCATCTTCCGCTTTTCATCTAGACCAGGACTGTTGTCATCAAAAACTCAGGCTTTCATACGATTTTGATATTGTGTAGGCTAAATCGTATCCAAACTGCCACTATAATTCTGAATGAAAGAAAAAATGGATGGAAGCGTGGCGCATCCTAAAAGTGAATGGATCAGCGTCAAGTGATTCGGGGTCTTTAGTTCAAGATTCACACTTATGCCTACTTCACACCTCTGCCTCGCACCTCGGCAGGCTTGCCAGTGGCATGCCCTCGCTTAATTGGTTGAGGTGCCCTGTGACCTTCCCCTAACGATGCCAACTACATCGAAATAGATGAAATAAAGATTTATCGGGGCAGGCTCACAACAGTAAGAGTAATGAAATAACTATATGTACATTTAGTGTATCTATATGTAAAAGCTTTGACACATGGATTTCAAAAAAGATGATATATTGGAATCCACGGTGCATTATTTATGTGAACCCAAACATCTTTCGAATTTTACTACATGATGAACAAGGATGAGTATAATTTTTTAAATGAGATAAAATAAATATGAAAAAAACCACATAAGCTCAGGTTCAAATGTACGTGCAAATTCAATGCTTAAAAGTTGTGGGTATATTATGATAGTAGAATGTCCTTCGTGTTATCAAGTCACCACTATAGCAGTGTACCCACACAAAGAATCCCCGATTCGGTTTTTTCGGCATGGAAGTTTCCAAACTTTCGGGCAGTAATAACTTTCGAATCAAATTATTGCAACCTTCCAGCATGCATCAAAACAAAGAAAGAAGAGATATTGAATTACTCAGAAGTTCGAACTGCCTTGGAAAATGACCGTCTCTGGAAGTAGACTGGTTGTCGTTTTTGGGGGTTTGTGGTCAGATTTTGAGAAGAGGACTAGTTTTTTAATCCTTCAATTTTCTTGGACGCGCAAGCTTCCAACCTTCGAAGAAGGATATGATTTTGAACAGCCTTCGGAAATTTTTCCATTATTCTGAAAATGCCCGGCGCTTTTGCCCTCGGTTGGAAGCGCGAGCATTTGAAAGTGTATCTTCCCAACCGTGGGATTTAGTAGGGAACCGTGATTGTAATCGTTTACTGCTGCAGCCGTAAATCCAGGACTGCGATCTTTAGCTAGACGTACTCAACATGAATACTCTTGGAAAGATCCGAAGGAACGGGGATGAGTCCAAAAATAGACAATATATTCTGTTAATTTTCTTAGTCACTTAGCTTTCCTACTGCATTTTACGTTCACCGTACCCCCATAACGATCGCCATGCTTTCGGCTTTCGAGAATCATGGCCAATGCGGCGGCAGTCGAATGGCGCATAATTTGTATCAAAATCCAAATGTAATCATCGTGTAATAATTATTTTGTTATTATTATGAGTTCTCGCCTTCATCGGTTTATTTCGTTTCATCGGTGTATTTGGCATCGTTAAGAAAGGTCACAAGGCAGCTCAACCAATTAAGGGATGGTATCCCACAGGCACGCCTGCCGAGGTGCGAGGCAGAGGTGCGAAGTGAGGCAGAAGTGTAAATCTTGAACTAAAGTCCCTCACCCCTTCTACTATATAAGACACTTTTTTGTGCATGCGTGCCACCTCCACGAGGTGTCCATGTCACCAGTGGATGGGAGCACATTGGAAGGAGTAAAGCTTACGCAGGTAAGGAGGTCCCGGTGGTTGCCGGGGGACCAATCTGGTTGTTTTTAAAGAAGAACTCGCTATGTAAATTTCAACTTCCTCGAAAGATCTTCGACGTGATGTCAAACGTGTTCGAAAAGAAAGCTTATTGTTAGTATGCTTAGAAATTAGAGCTCTCGTGTATTTAGCATCTGCCTTACTTTTCTGAAATGGTATGTAAATGAAGAAAGTTATTGTCCGTCAAATAAAGTGTAGATTTGGCTTAGGTAGAATTTTTTAGATAGGTTTTTTCCAGCAGGTGCGCTCCAATCGGAAGGCTGCGCGACGCGTCCGCGGACGGTTCGTGCCGCTATGCCGTAGCGCAAGACCGCTCATTTGCCTGTGTTCACTACCTCCTTCCTTTTTGCTGCTCCTTGCCAATGTGGCATAGACTAAGTGGTCCTGAGAAGATAAAAGGAGAAGCTAGTCTGTGCAGAATTTGGTTTGGGATTTGAACCAATCAGAAGAAAAGGAAAGGGAAGCAGCGCATCCGCGTCTCATCGTGCAAATAAGAAACCTCTCATGAATCTGAAGCTGACATTTCTCGCTTTGAAACCAGATGCGCGGAGTGTAAAAAGGGGGTCGTATCGGAATCTCCGCTACGCTAGAGGGGGGGGGGCGGTAGCTCGTCGAGACGCACCCTCTTTCTCGACTCACTGCCTTGGACTTGTACTTCGGAGCAAGCTTTCTTACGGAATATGCGCTTAGTTAGCAACCACGAGAACGGCGCGCTCTCCACAAGGGTTTGGGCGGTTCGCGGGATGTGGACGAGTTTGCTTTGGCGTACTGGAGCCACCGTGACGCGCAGTCCACCCCTTCACACCCGAACTGCTCCGACACGTCTGGGACGTGCTTTCGAGGACAAAGATGATCAAAGGCAAGTAATGGCTCGCCGTCACTGTTTCAGGATTGGTCTTAACGAAATCACATTCTCAAGGTATGCGCTTTCCAACTACTATAATAACAAGCATTGCATGTCTTTCCTGACGTTACGAGGGACAGAAAACACATGCAACAGGTATTTCATGCTCGTGGATGACTGGTACAGGTGAGACGATTCAGGTCTGATTTCTCTCTAGCTGTCTACACATTTCCACAGATATTCAGCTTCGATAGAAGAACCTGGGACAAAGGGTACGATAAGGGCGACTGCAAGGTGCTCCAGTTTTACAATTCGGTGCTGGTTTTTGTAAAATAGTGAGTCAAAGGGCTACCGAAAATTGCGCAGATTTGTTCACTTTTAGTCGGTAGTGTTCCAGCGATGTTTTGGATGATACTAGCCCGAAGTTCGTCGGTACTTATTCCGTGACACGAGACAGGCTGTACTATTTTGGCTACAAGGGCGGAAGGGTGAGATGTTTAGCAAGTGCTTCCGTTCTGTGCCTCGACCTAGTCAAGTGGCATGCAACTTTCAGGTGATGGTCACGAACTTCAGGCAGCGAATTGCAGCCGGGATCATGTCACCCACAAAGTACGAAGTAGTTTGTGCACGAGAAAGAACGTGGTAATAAAGCTTAAATCGAGCGTAGTGCAATGATGTGCGGAAAGCTTCGTCTGGTCACTGGTCATGGACTGTGATCGAATCCCGCCCGTTCTCGCCGACACCATCATGAGGGGGTTAGGCATTTCCATGCCCGCTCGAGCGATCTTCCATATCACCCCTCCCGTGCCCGTGTGGCCCGACAGCCCGCAACTCAGCCTCGTTCAATCATTTTACCATTGCCGTTGACAGCGGTGTCGGTCAGTGGTGACTGACAGCATGGTAGGGGGTGAATCATACAAAAGTCGCCGTCTTCCTTGTTCTAATGATTATTGTGTATAGTTCATATCTCGGAGTCTGATGGGGCGGGTTACTGGAAATGACGTGGCGGCCTCCGCACTTGATAGAAGTCGCGTGGATAAGCTATTCTACCATGTTAAGTTAGATATTAGCAAAGCTTGCTGGAAGCAGCTTTTTCGCGCTGTTCTGTCAAGTGTGGTGGCCGCCACCTCATTTCCGGGGACGCCCCCAATCACACACTTCGAGATATCGTCTGTTTTTAATAGGCCTACAACTTTCGTGAATGATAAACACTTGACTCGCTGTGAACCTCCCTCTCGAAACCAAACTCTGGCCCACTGTTCGCCCATCCGTATTTGCTCTGGTCACTCTCAACAGAAGTATGGAAGCAAGTTCAACACGTTGACGACAGCATGACGCGCATGCGCGTGAGATTTTCGCGCGGATCAGGCTCGTTTTGTTCGATTTGTTTGGCATTGTTTATGCTTCACAGCTGCCTTTATCTTGTCCGGAAAACAGTGCACCACGCAATTGTACTACAATCATTGAAGGAGTAGTGACAATTCTGAGAAAATCAAAGGCAGACCTCAAGAAAAAACTGGTGTATAAGAGCGCTTGTAGTGGTGACTTAGCAGCGGAACAAATTGAAAGCGGAAGAAAAGCAAAAGAAATTATCGAAAGCATAAAATTAGGGCCTTAACCTTCAGTAGATCGGGCGTGGTACGACGATAAGATTGGGCGAGCAAAGAAGACAAATGCGAGAGAGCATGCGGTACGAGAGAGCCTGCTGTTCTCCTCATCGGTGGGGAGAGTTGCGATGGTTGCAAGTCCTTGACGATCAGCACCTTAAAGCGAGAGGTCACGATAGAGTGTGTGTGCAGCGTGGAAGTACATGCACCAGTGGAAGCAGTAGTCAGGGGCCGACGGGAAGAAATGTGACGTTTCTGTGGCCAAAGGTGCGCTAGCTGCAGCGCACTGGCCTTTCTGAGCTCCGCCACCGTCCATGCTCGGCCCCCAGCAGAAGCGTCCTTCGATTGTCATTTTGATGAGGATTCCGCTTCGAGTGCCTATCCTATAACTTTCCCATGGAACGCATTACCAATCAAAGTATGGGCCTTTACTGGTATGATAGTGGTTATCGGTTCAACACACGCAAAAGACCTCCCAGATGGTTGCTAGCTCTTCCATGGGAGAGGGAACTTAGTCAGGATTGACCTTTCACACCTCCTCGCCGTGTTATCTCGCACCACCCTGTAACCTGCCTCTGGGTAGACCTTGCTTAATTAGGTGTGCTGAGTGCTGACCTCGCTCCAACATATCGCTCTCATGCGCAGTATTGATTATCAAGTCTATCTTTATTATATTCACGGAAACAAACCAAAGTTTAATTTATACAAATTTTTAGCATAGTTAACAAAAAATTCAGATTATACAGATGTATTAGTGACATTTCTCGACATCCTACTGCAAAGTCGTTCTATTTCTTCTTGAGATGCGCCGTTTTGGCAACACACTTTCATAAATTAGTTTGCCTGTAGGGAAGTTAGGCGAAACTTTTAATTTCGTAAGGTGAAACTTCAGTTCGGGGGCCACTCCATTGCTAACTTATCCGTAGTACTAGAGAGCATTCATTTGGGCTATCCAACACTACGGATAAGATAATAAGTGAACGACTCATTTCGAGCGTACTTTTGATAAGGACCGGTGGATGTCCTACATTCCACACTCCTGCCCACATCCTATCCACTTTTCTGCACAGGTCATCCACCCTGGAGCTCCTCCACCCTTAGCCTAGGCAGAGGTGTCCATTCTCCTGGTCCAGGACCGTTCCCTTGGACCATGGCAGGCGGAAATGTGAAAACATCTTGGGGTTTCTTCCACATTACACCGATACTTATCAGAAGTATACTTTAAATGAGTCGATTACGTGTCATGAGTGCTCTCATCCTTATCTTGAGCATTGGAGAAACAATGGAGTGGCCCCCCCCAAACTGGAGTTTCACCTTTCGTAGCTGTTCTGCGTGGAAAACGGCTTGCACTGCGAGTGCTGTTAGCTAAAAATTAGCTTATTTTTGAGCTCCCATTTTTTCTGATATTTTGTTTCCTCCAACCGCTACTGTATAAATGAATTTATTACCAATATCAATATATCCTCTATAATGAGTCTGTCGGAGTTGGGTCAGCACTCAGCTCAGCTAATTAAGCGAGGTCCACCCAGAGGCAGGTTACAGGGTGGTGCGAGATAACCACGGCGAGGAGGTGTGAAAGGTCAATCCTGACTAAAGGTGCACACCCAACGCCCCTAGACCAGGGTGAATATCGCTTGAGGATTCCTCAACGGCACGTCGAGGATTCTCTGCCCGATCAGACACGATCTCTCGCGCGGACATTCACACTCGCCATGCCGTGCCGTCTGTGCTCTCCGCGCGGATGTTCACTCTCGGCACTACTCTCGCATGGTAGAGAGCTATGGTCGAGGATTTCCTCGACCGTTATTCACCCTGCCCTAGACTTTTACGTAGCATCCAATGGTGCGGGCTTTGGATGGCAATATACAATGTATTCGTTTCAGGGCACAAAATCGCTTCTATTGGCGAGGTTTGGCCCTTTTTTAAGATTCTGGCGTTGTAATATGGTCCCGAAATAAGTAGATAAC